AAAACGTAATTTCTACGTACATAATGTACATAGAAGTGACGTCACGTGACATTTCGAATCAAAATTACGTGTCTAATGATTTGAAATAATCTACCAGACGGACATAATAATAAAAATTAGACATCTACCCTATTCTTGCGGTTGTTTACAGCCTCAGCGAACATGCGTTGTATGTAGCCTTGTAGGTCAGGATAAAAATGTGTTTCTAAGCTATATTGTAAATCAGATACATAATACATAATATTTGAAATTACATGTAAGTAAACATAACCACGGTATTGGAAAAAAATCCTACGAACTGTGAATTACTTTTCTTGAATTAACCTTGCATTTTATAAATTATTATAGTTATGTATAAGAGAAACGGCGATAAAATTGTAGATTTGGCTCACTCATTTCAGTATTGGTAGATTATTCAATGAACTTCATTTTCTTAAGATTAAGATACCTTTAAACCCCCGAAATGTCGCGGAGAACCTAACGGGTTACCGGGGCTCCGGCTCGACGTGCAGAAGAAGGAACGGGGTGGTTTTTAATCAGTAAAAGTCTGACACTCCCTCCCGCCTCAACCAGGCGGGAGCAGTGATTCGATGATTTTCCCCTCTTAAAAAACAAAAAGAAACCCCGATATGCCAGTACCTAATCTTTAAATTCTGGATTTGATAAGCATGTTATACACAGTGAAATCTATTATTAATCTGGTTCTGTCTTGGTAACACAATAGTTTTACAAAGAAATAATAATATGTTTAAAATGAAAAATAACTGGTGAACCATTGCAAAAAAGTAAACTTCGACGAACTCATAGTAGATTATCAAAACAACACGCTATGATGTAATTCTCGAAGATGTATTTCTCGTCGGGTGGCACGTGCGATGCGAATAGTGCTTACAAAGTGCCTACAAATTTACGTCTTTTTTTTAAGGGGGGACAATCATCGAATGACTGCTCCCGTCTGAGTGAGCCGGGAGGGAGTGTCAGACTCTTACTGACTAAAAACCACCCCGTTCCTTCTGTACGTTGAGCTGGTCTACTGTTTCATGCATGTATACCACTGAATTTGTTTTTTGACTAAAAAAATTACATCCTTATTTGTTTTTACTTTATACATCGAAAGTCCTCCTTACGGCAAGTGTTTTTTGCCGCGAGTGAAACACGAAATAGATTTCACAGTGTAGAAAGGATTTAACAACGCTATTTGCTTCAACAAGTGATGGGAGTACATACATAATATATTACCTACATATGACATACTAGCCCGCGGCGTACATTGCCCTCTTATGTACAAACAGATCTAACGACTACGTGTTGATAAACTTGACCCAGTAACTAGCTTACTAGCAACTAGACTTGCGCAATGGCACGCAACACTTCAATGTAGATTAATTTCTAGAGAGAAACTTGGTACTGCAGATCTTAGATAGATTTAGAACTTTGACTAACGACCAGTTCCAATAACCTATAATTTTTTAAAGGGGCGAAACGTTAAATGACTTCTCCTGGCTTATGTGAGGCAACAAAAAGCGTCAGCCTTTTACTGACTAGAAACCTCCCCGGTCCTACTGCTACGAGCCAGAGCCTCAGTATCCCGGAAGGTCGTCCGCAGCCCTGGTTCTAAGTTCCGATACTGGGGCATAGGTTCCAAGTTCCTATATAGTACAAATAGGTAGGCCTATCTGTCCGTTTTGACATAGGTAAGCTCCGTGCTTCGTCGTAGTGGCCCGGAGGTTTAAGACGCCCACTTCTCATGCATGAGGGCACCCTCATGCATGAGAAGTGGTTCGAAACCTACCAACGGCAAGTACCAATGTGACTTTTTCCGAGTTATATATACTTTCTAAGATTATTTAGACACCACTGACAAATGGTGAAGGAAAAACATCGTGAGGAAACCTGGACTTATAATTTCTAATTATAAGTTTGAAATCGCCAACCTGCATTGAGCAAGCGTGGTGATTAATGCTCTAACCTTCTCCGTGTGAGAAGAGGCTTTGCTTAGCAGTGGGCATTTATAGGCTGTTGATGATGATGAAGCTCCGTACAAAATATGTACTGCCTCTTGATCAACTAATCGCAAGTGCATCTGCTAAGCAAGAGGTTCAACTTATGGAAGTTTTCGGATTGCGATTAATAAGCATTAATTAGCAAGGAGTCTGGAGTTGTGTCCAGATGGTGGAGCAATAATTGAATGAATCGTGGCTGATGCAGACTGATAAATAAATCCTGTATATATTATTATAATCTTATACTTACTATTATCTATATAAAGCGCAAGAGTTTGTTTTTTGTTCGTTTGTTTGAACGCGCTAATCTCAGAAACTGCAGGTCTGATTTCAAAAATTCTTTTTGTATCGAATAGGCCCATTTATCGAGGAAGACTATCGGCTATAAAACTTCACGCTACGATCAACAGGAGCAGGGCAGCAGCAGAGCACGCCGAGCAGAGCGGCTGAAACCGCGCACTAGCTACTAACCACATAAAATGCCATCCTCTCATGTATGTAGGTACTTTATTTTATGTACTCCGCTACAAACCGGGGATTCGGTTACCGGAACAAACAAATGTGTGGCCTACAGATTCGTTCCGGAATTGGCTATTTGCGTATCGAAGGTAAAATGCTCAATTGATGAGACAGGAAACCAAAAGGTTACCGTATTGGTAAATAAAGCAATTACCATGACATATTGGGGAGTGGTAAACATCATTTTAGTTAAGTACACTTAGGTTTCTTGATGATAGTTGATGATGGTTTATTTCTTCTTTTTTTTATTTTTAGGTAAATATTTTCTGATACCAGTATTTTTTTAATTGGTAACGTATGTCGTATAAAAAAACAAATTTTGAATGACAGCATTTCGTTATAAAAGGAATGTTTTTTTTTTAGTTATAGAGGATTCGATAACAAGAAAAGACGGTAGTGGCCCCGTATCTTAATCCTAAGTGAATTATAGTTAAGTACTAGCTTTGGCCGCGTGAACTGGCCTGTCTTTCTCCATAGGTTAGGTACACTAAACTGGGTACCTAAGCTAATTAATCCATACACAGGACATAATAATTATGTAATTCAGACACCGTGCTGTATAAATGAGAGTTTCAATTCACTTGACATCCTTTTTGTGCATAATCAAAACCATATTTTTTAATGGTTTTCGAATACCTACCTGTCCATCAGTACATTAAACACGAAACAGAAAAGTCCTTACTACCTTCCTTGTTTATCATCATTGGTAAGTACATAGGTACATATAAAAAGTAATACTTACAAGTGACTAACAAAGGATAATGAGATCGGTAGATTATGAATTGTTTATCCTTATTGAAGTTATTTAGTACCGAGTTGTATAGGTTACTAGTCAGCCAGCTAGCTTAATAAAGCATTTAATAAACAGCTAAAAACTTTAATTAAATCATTCCATTGGTTAAACCTCAATCCGGTTTTTATAAAACATAACTAAGAACCATCGCACCTTAATAGACAAGTCTTCCGAATAAAAAAACGCACTCAATTCATTCATAAGCTACGAAACCACAGACATACAGATAGATGTAAATTTTAACATCCTAATTTTGACCAATTTAAACCCGCAATCATGATAAAAATATTACGGAAGCAAATTTAATTTCCACATAAAAATAGGCATAATACAACACATCGGAGCATAAAAAAAAGAAAACAAAAAAAATCAAACTGTCATCTTACCTTTTTTTCGCCACAGATAAAATAGAGGCACTAATAAACTGTTCTTAACTGAGGCACTACACCAACTGCTAGAATACAATCTTAGACGTGACATGCAATGACCTTTATTTAAGTGCTGACCATGGAGGAACGTACTAAGATTGTCAATGTCAGTTTAAAAGGATTTAATAGATATTGCTTTCTTGTTGCACCTGACCTACATTACTGACTTCTAAAAACTGATGCGATGCTGTGAATCTAAGAGATAGCTTATGTAAGAAAATTATCTTATCAGGAGTTTCGTTTACACAAAATACTGAGTCGTTAGTTGATTTGGGTGATGAAGTGTCCTCGTAGAATAAGATTTCAGTTTCAGTGATTCGCATTCAACTTTTTCTCGCTAAAGTTTCACCACTGTAGTTTTTGAAGTCTTTCATGGTGTCATGGGCAAATCAAATTAGTTTTAATTTAGTTGGTATTTCAAAGGTGAAGATGGTATGGTTGGTATTTCAAATGTGCCAAAAAGGAAATGTACCAAACGTTTCAGAATATTTTGTCATTATTGTACGTAAGACACGGAACTGATAGAATACTTACAATTTTAAATATAATCTGTACACCTCTACTTACCCCCTTCAGTTTAGTAACCTAAAGTTATACAAATGAATTATAGTTTACCGCCATCTATGCTTATAGTGAGTAACTATAATGCGCGTGTTTGTGTTATACCCACAGGCGATAACACAACATTCACTGCATGTTTGACTACAAAACATCTTCATTTACAAGTTCAACAGACAGATGTCAGTATTATACTTAAAAAGAAGAAAGTTTATCACAGAGTGCTGTTATCAGGCTCTATTATGTTTAGACCTACAACCACATGGGCAAATTATGTCCTTAGTTTAGGTGCTCCACCCCGCCCCGTCACGTCAGCGCGGGATGGTAGATTTTACCACTGTATGCAAGTATCTCAACTTATACCAAATCGCGCCTAGTACAAGACACTGCTGTGGGTGGAGCGCTTTATTTACTCCCTATGATAATCGGCTCTGTCACACTCTCCGAAAGAGAACGCGATAACAAAAGTTTTTCTTTACAATTTATCTTTATTTATAACAAAGTAGAAGAATACAAAATATATAAAAACACTGTACAATGATTAACGTATGAAAATAACACATTGTATGCTATTCATCCTTCGAAGGCAGAGCATACAAATTATACCAATCCTTAATTAATATAACTAAACAAAGGAATCTACACTAAATCACGACGACACGGACGTTTTCGAAAAAACTAAAATATCACCTCATGATGGATCTCTGGAAATTATTACGTTTTTGAAAACATTTATTTACAACTAACTCAATAAACTTATGGAAATAACAATATTAACTTTGTAAGATGTCATAGGAATAGAGGATGATCTTCTATACAATGATCTGAAACATGAAGTTTGTATCATAATGGTAACAGTTACGAAGAACAGAACTTTACAACAGAACGAACGAACAGGTACTTTGAAGGATCGAATCCGAAACGAAGTGATCCGACACCGCGACCGCGTCTAGGCAAACGTAGTGTAGGGCGCCCTCCAGCTAGGTGGAGTGACGACATCCGCAAGGTGGCTGGCAGTGGTTGGATGAGAAGAGCTGAAGACCGAGCTCAGTGGCGTGCCATAGGAGAGGCCTATGTCCAGCAGTGGACGAATACGGGCTGATGATGATCAGTTACGAAAAAGACATGTATTTGAAGCCCTAAATGACAATTTACGACACCAAGTAGGTACCTATTTTCTGAAGAATCAGATGACAGTAAGCCATGTTGTGAACATGAACAAATGTAGTATATTGACCCACTGTAACAAGTGAGTAATGCCCTCAAAAGTCTAAGTTATACTAAAATGCTTGTAATAATCCTAATTCTAAGCCGAAAAATCCAGTTTAAATCCTGGATTTCCTCAGTTATTGGCTTGCATATGGTTCTATATCTTTTCAACCTGGTTCGGGAGAATGTCGGGAGTATTCTGGTGGGACAGTAGGGGATGGTACCCCAGGTTCTCCCTGGAGCTGCGTCAGTGCACATCGGACGGCTGACAGTGTTTCTGGCGTGTGCTTGCGTCCGCGCGGCGCGTGTGGACGATGTGGCCGCACCATGCGGTCGGCTGTAGCCGTAGACTCTGTTTGGAAGAAAGAAATAGTACAAGGTCAACTAGCTCAAAATTAGACTTTAATGAATAAAGTAAGAGTAACATAAATGCCGTAAAAGATAGGAAGAAAATATTAATTTTACTCTAGGTCGACCTTAAAGTGATTATTTATTTGTTTCTAGTAACACAAATATCAACGAATTACTAACAGTCAAAGAACAGGTGCAATTTTGGACTCAAAACTCAAATGGTTGATAAAGAAATAAGTCAGAACATCTTCATTAAAACAATACCCACAAAATCCCCTCATGTGTCAATCTATCGCTCTGTCTGTCAATATGTCTGTTAGACTGACATTACACTGAACACGTCCGTGCATACAAATTATTAAAACAGAATTGATTTTTCACTATAACGTCAGGAAATCATTTAGTAAATCGTGAAACCAGTCAAGCTCCTTTGTTAGCAATTTATCAATGTTATAGTTCAATGATGCGCAGCTCACGATAAGATCTGACTCAGTGCTTGTGTTCTCCATAAACGTTGCAATTACATGTTCGCCAATCATTTTAGATTGAATATTATTATTTTACTTAACAGTGACTGCCTAACCGTTCTATTCATAGACTTTTTAAAGAAGGATTTAAATTTCATTCGTTTCTTTTTTATAGGGGTTTTCTTTTTTATAGACCACCACCACCATGGAGATTCTTTCTCGTTCTTCTCTATTCAAAACTACATTTTGGAACGAGCGTCTAGCTTACTGACAGACAGACTAAAGGAATATTACATTTTTGACGGTTCAAAAGTGCCTAGTAAGGCGTTAATGGAAATAAATGCTTTGACTTTAACTTTCACATCTGCAACAGAAAATACAGATTCGTTGCCGTCCTTCTACAAAGAAGTACTATGCCCTTTCCCCCTTTTGAAATTTTAAGGGAACTACTTATCCAAAATAAGCGACACTTAGCGACGGTTTTGTTGTCACCAACGGAAAAGTGGCTCCTATGGCTACGCTATTTTTTTAAGGTTTAATAATGTTGACAGTGGTCAACTCACGATTAACTCTGGGTCTCTCTCTCTCGGGGCCTCCATCCTCAAGTCTCTCGCAGCAGGTGCAGAAGTAGCACGGCACCCCAGGAACTCCACAACAGAGAGCCCCCCACAGCCACCTGTTCAGGGTGCTCGCAGTCCTCGACCATGCACTCGGCCTATCCTAGAATGTCAAGGGAGAAAATTGTATTTATGGGTCACCTATTATCACAATTTACAGCAACAAACCAAAGAGAAGTATTATATTTTATGATCTGATGGAGAAATTAGTTTGTGAATGAACAGAAAAAGAAGACAATATTATGCCGACCCCTTGGCCGACCTACCGTAGCTTTGGGATAGGGTTAGCGGTTGCAAAATCATAACATTGTCAGTCAGACTATGAAATCATTTCAACATAGTGCACAAACCGCGTTCGTTATTAGAATAGGAATAAAGCGTTAGATGAGAACCTCCTCCTTTTTTTAGAAAAATCGGATTAAAAAGATATGACTTCAAGGTTATACATATATTTACTATATTTTGTAAGTATAATTATTAAAAAATAGAACCTATGCACTTTGACAATCACTATAATTGTACATTTAAGCACAATAAACTCACTACTTCTAAACATGGATTTGTGAAAAATCTATTCAAAATTAACTGCCCAAAAGTCAAAATCAATTCAAGACTTGCATCCAAATATTGTTGTCCATCAAAGATGTCCTCAGCCTACATTCAGATCCTTTAAAGGCTTTTGTTGTTGATAATGTCCTAACACAAACGTAGGTGTGGTTTGAAGAATATCTGTTTGTTTCTTTTAATTAGGAAAATGGTAACATAATGTTGTATCCTTATTAACGTAATATCTATTGATTTATTTACCTGATGGTTAAACACAAAATTCCGATTCATCACAACTTCATCTTTGCTGGACTATCTCCGTCTTTCGAAAAGATATTTATTTTCATAAGGCTTGACAATGTCACTATGACTGGAGCAATCAGTAATATTTATACTTTTTTTCCATACCTACGTCAAACAGACAGCTAGGTTGTATTAATACTTTTTGTAGTTTATGGTTAAAAAGAAACAGCCAATTTAGGATTGTACGCGAACAACAACGATGCGAATTCGCAACGCAAAAAATTACGATGCAAATTGCTGTGATGCGATTTCGTATGTGACAAGGCGTCTACCAGGGTGACCATTCCTTCGACGACCGTCAACCGTACTAAACGTATTTTAAATTGAAAACTAGGTCATGTCATGGATCGTAAAAAGAAGTGTGCACTTTTTTTATTGCTAAGGAGACAGGAAAATGAAACAAAGAAGATTTTGGGAATATAATATTTTAATGCGCGATGACAATCAATTCGCAAGTTCTTGCGGTTCGTAGAGGGAGCTCGCACATTTTTACAATGCGACGTCGCATCGCAGTTTTGTGTACGAGTCCTCTAATCGAGGTTTTTTTATATTCCCAGGGGATGTAAAGCGGATATATTTAAGGAACTAATGATCACCTACCATCTTAACGAAAAGTAACTTAGCGTGACGTACCTATCACTTAACTAACCCCTAATTTGTACTGAGTGAGACTGTCACCATTAAGTTACACCTAATGTCACTTAATGGTTGGTGTAAACCAAAATCATGCTTGTAGTAGCTTAGGGGTTTCTTAAAATTTAAGAGAGGTTGGTGAACATAAGTACCCTCTTTCCGGTGCTGATACTTAGGAACACCTCCCTAACTAGTATTTGTCCCCAATTATAAACTACGTTTAAGAAAACCGACTTCAATCCCCTTTTTTTGATTTGATACATTGATAAGTATACTAACACCTTCTCCTAATTGTAACGAACACTTTTCTGAAAACTGAAGCAAAATCAGTTCCCAAACAACAGATAAAACAGATCATTACCTTTTTTGAAGTCGCTTAAACCTAGTCACCATTTGAAGATTTCTCCCGCCACCAAAAAAATATCTTAAAATATGTACATCACGGCTTTTTATCCCCGAATGCCCCTGTACAATGTAACATCCACTTTTCAGTATTTATGTTATGAGTCCATGAAGTAATGGGTGAGCCTATTACTATATACTGGACACGATTCCAGACTACGTACTACTACTGAGATTTTTTAAAAAGTCCAGTAATACTTTGCCAGACCCGTGAATCGCACCCAAGACCCCTTGCCTGGCAATCGCACTAGCGACCACTCGGCCAACGAGGCAGTCTAAAATATGTACATAGTAACAAAAACGAGAATCCACTCATGTCTCAATCGATTTACTCGATTACTTTTGGGGTTTCTCTCGCGTGCTCGTCGCGTGTTATTAAGTACTTAACTAGATCAGATAGTGCTAAGATCTTCATCAAGAACCACCAGAAGCAAAAAATATCGAACCCCCGTTAGCGTGTTCAAACAAACTAATTCTCCAATCTTACTAATGTTACAAACGCGAAAGTTTGTAAGTTCGTGTGTTTGTTTGTATGTTTGTTAGTCCTTCACGACAAAACGGCTGAATAGATCGCGATGATAATTGGAACAGGGGTGTTCTTTAACTACAGGCTACTTTTTAACGCATGGGATCGCGAGCGAAGCCCTTGGCAGAAACTAATTTTATTATAAGTTTTGATGATAACAATCGATATTTTATAACAAGACTAGCAGGCCGTCCCGGCTTTGCACAGGGTAGACAATTATTTATTTTTGGAAATTTGGATTGTTGTAGTGACATCACTACTATAGTTGGACATATGCTACCGTGGAGTTTTTTGTAGACATTATGATGTTCTTCAATATTGTTGTACATTATTTTGTTCTATCGCTATCTAATAGTTTCGGCAGCGCATTCGACGAAAGACATTTCAAGACTCATTTTTCTACACCTTCGGTTACATTGTTCAAATTTTACCAAGGATCCCTAATTTTTTTCAAAATGAGATGTAGGCTATGTCAAATTGGAAGAATGTAGCATTCTATTGGTGAAAGAATTTTTTAAATCGGCCCAGTACTTTTTGAGCCTATTCATTACAAACATACAAAAATAGGTACAAATCTTTCCTCTTTATAATATTAGTATAGATGAACTTCCCCGTCTTGCATGACATCTCACATACCATAACCGACCCAACAACATTCAGTTTTTGTTACAAAATAACTCGTTATCAAATGACAATCAAATGACGGAGCCAAGTACACAACAATGTAAAATTACTTCAAAACAATTTTAATTAACGATCTTAACATTATAAGAGGTTAATATGGCATTCATAATCAACCTTCGGAATTAATGAGCGTTGAACATATACGGCACGAGTTTTCAAGAAGCTGCCTTCTTCCAGGCGGGACAATGCCGTGGCGAAACTGTGATTAGCGTACGGTTATATCATGGAGCCTTGGGTTTACACCACTCATAACAATCCGCCGTATCTTTGCTAAAAACTATTTATTAGGAAAATCTTCTGGTAGTCTGTTTTTGGAGGTAGGGTTCCGTATGTAAGTAGTAAAGTTAATGATGTTGCAGTGTGTAAGAACCACAGACGAAACGAATGAACATCAATGTTGCAGTTTTAAACAGTCATAGGAATATGTATCAGAGACATTGTAGAACATACTTTTTTAAAAAGAGTAACGAATGGAGTTTCTTGCTCGTTCGTCTCCATTCGAATCTACATTTTGGAATCTACGTTTCAAAGTACCAAATTATGGTTTAATTGAAATAAATGTTTTGACTTTAACTTTGACATAGTATTTTTCTTTTCTGTGTTCATAGTCTTGCCATCACGTAACCTTTTAATGCATAACATAACACCAAAAAATTGAAACTTTAGCATAACATAACATAACATCACGCCTTTTATCCCCGAAGGGGTAGGTAGAGGTGCACACAGAAGTAACACCCACTTTTCACTATTTATGTTATGAGTCCCATGTAATAGGGTTTACTTTAGGTTCTGTAAAATACTTGCAACTTACGATTGCATACGAGGTTATCAGGAATCGGAAAGCGATCAGGATGAGGGCCAGAAGACAGGAAATTAGGTTTATCTAATTAGACTTCACATATTCTTTTCGCTATTTATGTAAAAGTCTTATTTAACAACAGGGGACGAGCCCGTTCATGATATGGTTATTTTAGAAATGGATTTACGTAATTACCACCCCATTTAAACACCAAAAAGGTGTTAGGCGTAAATATGTTATGATAAATTAGAGGTCTTATAATTGTATAAAGTCGGACATAAAAATAACTCGCGAAATTCCAACATACCACGAACCATCATACAAATAACTTACCACAGATGACTGACGGAACTCTAAAAAAGAACATCATTTGCAGTCTTACTGTAAGCACTCAAATCATTGATACCTAGCCGCTTGGCAAGTTCACACGCGTTAAAACTAAAAACAAAAAACTCAACTAACACTATTTCAATCATTTTTTTTTTAAACTTCTATTTAAAAAATGAATTTGAGGTTACACGTGTTTTTTGGCCAGTTCCTCTGGTTACTGGCCGCTTTGAATGGGAAGACTATTCAGGGGATACCGGGGTATGGAAGGAACCTGCTCATCAAGACGTTACCAGCCATCGAAGACTATCAGAGCAACATCTATGAAGTGTTCATGGAACCTTACTTGTATGTAAGTACTAATGTCTTTTCTACTATGTTGACTTATATACTAGTTGTACTTTTAATAGCAGCGATCGCTGATGGGAACCTTTTATATCATTATCATCATCAACAGCCTATAAATGCCCCCTGACCAAAGCCTCTTCTCATACGGAGAAGGATTAAGCATTAATCGCCATGCTTGCTCAATGCGGGTTGGTTGATTTCAAACTTATAATTAGAAATTATAAGCCCAGGTTTCCTCGCGATGTTTTCCTTCACCGTTTGTCAGTGGTGTCTAGATAATCTTAGAAAGTGTAACTCCGAAAAAGGCACATTGGTACTTGCCATTAGTAGGTTTCGAACCCGCACCCCCATGCATGAGAAGCGGGCGTACCTTTTATATACATACGTACATAACGTCACGTCTGTCTCCCATTGGACTAGGCGGAGAGAGAACACCAAATGACACGATTCTGGCATACTTTTCGCTTCATCTACATTCATGAACCTCATGCATACTTGTCGATTGAGGGTGCGTCTACCCTTTAAAACTTCTTCAACCTGCTTGCCAACACAACAACTAGGACATTCGACCTATTTTTATAAGCCGGTAAACGAGCAGACGGATCACCTGATAGTAAGCAATCGGCGTCGCCCATGAACACCTGGAACACCAGAGGCGTTGCAAGTGCGTTACCGGCATTTTGGGGTTAGGAATTTGAGGATTTTTGGCGAGCTGTTAATGTTGTTGATGAAATATTGCTCATATCATTTCTTAGTATTGATATCTATAAGGTCCTTAATGTCCGTGAAAGCCTTTTCGGGTCTCTGAACTACAGATGGGGCCTAACAAGGCTGATGCCGATACGGAGCCGCGGAAGACTTAACGGGTTGCCGGGGCTCCGGTTCGAAGTGCAGGTGTAGGAACGGGGTGGTTTTTAGTCAGTAAGAGTCTGACACTCCCTCCCGCCTCACCCAGGCGGGAGAAGTCATTGGATGATTTTCCCCCTAAAAAAAAAAAAAAAAAGGTCTCTGAACTACTTCGTGATCTAGACATATACCTACGTATATGTTTCAGTTCAGCTGTAGGAAGGCACATAACTACTTGTCAGAGTTCAAAACTATATATTAGAACATATATAGAATAACTATTTATAGAAAAAAAAGATAAATGAGAAACAGTTAGAAGTTTTTCCTATATTAGATTTTCTCGTGTAACGTTATTGTTGATAATAATCTCAATGTAGGCTAGTATATATTTTTTTTTATTACCTATTGATTTTAACTGGGTTTGAATATAAAGCGTAGCAATATAAAAAAATAAGTGCGGTTAGTCATCGTTAGAAATGATTGTCATCATAATAATGTTCATTAGAATTTGTTAATACATTTTGAGAATTCATTTGAAAATTCTTCTTCAAGGTTGCAGTTTTTTGTGGCACCAGCAGGAAGGCTTATGTATGAGTTATGTACCATCATACTCGGGGTCACGGTTGTGTCTTTACTAAGAATTAATGATAGGAGTGCTGATTCTGTTATGTCATGCCATGAAAATTAGTGGTCTTAAGTCATAGGCACAATTACTGGAATCAAGACGAAGTGGATATTACTTCCTTAGTTCGAAATTGTTGGGTTCTTTGTGGACAAGTAATTCCGGATTTTGTTCCGGTCACGTGGTATATAGTGCCTTATTTAGCCTTCTGGGCTCTGTCAGTGGTTTCATTAGGTTTACAGCCAGTAGGTTTGGGATTGCAGTGATTGTGTTTCTGTAGGTGTGAGTCCTCTCTATAATTTCCTCTTGAACGGTGCTTATGAAGTCTATTATTCGCAATTCGTAACATACCAAGGTGTATTAGCTCGTCGCGGAGAACCTAACGGGTAACCGGGGCTCCGGCTCGACGTGCAGAAGGAACGGGGTGGTTTTTAGTCAGTAAGAGTCTGACACTCCCTCCTGCCTCACCCAGGCGAGAGCAGTCATTCGATGATTTTCCCCACTTTAAAAAAAAAGGTGTATTAGCTATCATACTTAGTGATGTAATCGGCATATAATTTTTATTATTAGAACAAAATTAACACCTTGTCAGTGACAGATTTCAAAATTAATGCTCCAATAAAGTTAAGGCGTTGGAACAATCAGTCTTCAACCGTTCAAATTTATCAGAAAGCGCTGCTTCCTAATTTCTATCAAATGTTAGTCCCTTGATCATTTTCCCCCCTTAAAAAAAAAAAAAAAAAAAAAACTCCCTTGATCAGTGGAATGAGTCGGGATGATATAAGTAATTGTACTCTGACGTCACTATACATCTATTTATTAGGTACTTATTAAGCATCCTGCATAATAATGTTTATGATAAGTAACTTGCATGCACATAATAGGCAGTAGGCAGGCAGGTGGCAGCAACTAATGAAGTAAGTGATCATAAATAAATAATAACAAGTATAATTGACGTTGTTTCATCTCAGATAGATCATAGACCTCTCATTTGTACCGGAAAGATATAATAACGATTGCTGATACTTACAAAACAGGTACCTAGTCTCAATATCTTAGTGTTATAGAATTAGGATCGATGACATTTTGACAGTCATCGAACTGTTGGACATTTGTAATGAATAAAGTTAATTTAAAACATACATGACCTAAGCCTGTTAGGGAAACCACAGATGGGGCCCAAAAAGGCTGATGCCGCCGATACGGAGCCGCGGAGGAACGCGGTGGTTTTTAGTCAGTAAGAGTCTGACACTCCCTCCCGCCTTACCGGGGCGGGAGAAGGCATCGGATGATTTTGCCTCCTCAAAAAAAGCCTGTTAGGGAAAGTCGATAGCTTGTTAATACTTGTTATTACTTATTATTCATACCTTACTGTTATTGAAAATCTTATTTTCACGAACGAACCAACAAACTAGTCAACTTACATGTTAATTAAGTATATATGTTTTTGTAATTAAAACCAAAGTTTTTTGAACTCCTACTGATTTCTTGTCGATGTGTTTTTGTTTTTAATCTTAATGTATGTCTATCGTGTGTTAGCTTCCTAAGTAGTTAGTTATTGATTGATGGAGCAATGAACTGTCTTTTTTAAATTATTTATTATTAGCTTCATTTGAGTTTAAGTTGGTAAAATAATTTTGTAGTCGACTAGAATGCCATCTTGATATCGGTTTTGACATTGTCCGTTTATAGTCTACTCCTGGACTATCACCTGAATACTGAAAGGTTATCGTGCCATCTCTGTCATTTTGCAAAGAATTTGTAGTGACAGAACTATACTTAAGGCAACTTAAAATTGAGTAACGTTTCAGTATTCAGGCATATGACTATGGGTCTCCTCTACATGGGACGTTTTGTCATAATAACCTTCATGCTTCATAGTTTTAAGTAAAACTCAATACTTGAATACAGAAAAGTTTATTCTACACGGATTCTCTTATAACCTCTCTGTGGACTCTCTTATAAGATCACAGCGTGATGCTCGTCAAACTTCCCACCAGAATCGCACTACTACAAGAGTCGTAAAACTCTTTGCGCGGGAAACTTTACTTATCTGTCACATTTGACAAATGACATCGTCAGCTAGTGCTGTCGATAATACAGATTAAACTAGTGACGTTCATTTAGTTGATTTTGGTCGTCTAGCAGTAGGCAGGTTGGTCGTAGTTTAACAGGTTCAGGTTTATCAGAGAGCTAGTGGCCGGTGTTTGTTAAACATGTATACCTTCTGTAATTCGGCTCTTGTAACACTCGCGGAAGAGAAGCAGTGGGGACATGTACAAATTAGACCTATATATTACCGAGATGAATCGTCGCAACAAAATGTATACAGCTCTATAGAGAGTTACCTGGTGTCCACTTGGTAGCGCAACCAGCTTATACATTTTGTGGGTAGCAGTGACTGGTTGCGCCGCCATGATGTCCCGGTGAAATACAGGGTGTTTAAGGAACTCTCTGGAAAAATGCCGACAGGTAATGATAAAGAACAAGTTTCATTTTCATAAAAGTAAGGACTTACATGTTTCTTTAATCCTTACTATTATAAATGGGAAAGTGAGTTTATTTGTTTGTTCCGATTTCACGCCGTAACTTCTAAACCGTTTGCTTTCAATTTTTGCAGACGTAAAGTTAAAAGTCCGGATTAAATAATAATGGGTAATTTTTATCCCGGAAAATTTTGATATTCCCGAAGGAAATCAAAAGAATTGACATAGATGGCGCTGTGTGTATTAGTATATGTCACATAGGCTACTTTTATCCTTTTGTGTCGCGAAGCGAAGCCGCGGGTAAAAGCTAGTGTGATAATAATTGTAATCAACTGATAAAGCCTGATGTTTTTTTTTTTTATTAATATTATAGATTATTTCTCCACGGACTCTAGGTCCGTGCCCTTGTCATACAGTTTTTTAATTATAATACATCTAGTCAATTTTTATAAAGTAAAGAGGGAACCTGATGTTGCATGAATAACATGAAAAACTATTCAAATTGTAAAACAATATCTTTTTGTCAGCGTTCTGTTTACACCCTGTATGGCCCTAAAATTGGTAGCTACATAATCTTGTTAATAGTAAATTAATTACTGTTGTAAATATATATGTTTTCACATTTCAGGAGTTCGGTCACCAAGTGTACCCGCCTGGTAACCGCGCTGAAAAACAAATCGAATATATTGTCGTAAGTATTTTTATATTTAGGTCATTAACTATTCAAAATAATCTGGTATTAATTTAGTCTAAAATGGCTAGGCGATCTTTGTAATAGCACTACTAAGTCTAGACCAATTATCTTTTAATTTTGGTAATAAAAGTTGAGAAAATATTTGACTGTGTCCGTTAACGGCTTAATATTTTTAAGAAATAAAGTATTTAGACCGTATATAGGTATTAAGTATATTTTTGGAAACATAATTATGTATCTCGCAGGTTGTCCAATATGGCAATGTTTACTTAACAATATAATCATTTACTTTATATCGCACATTTATATTAGGTAGGTATATCGTTTCATTCTTATATAGCTTCCTATAATTACAAAATAGGAACTTATATGTAATCGCCTCTGTACACAATAATTAGATAAGTACATCAATAAATAATCAAATTACCCAAGACGTTTTAAGAAGTTTACAATCCGCGTTGCAGTTCACGGCCCTTCCACTTCCCATACAGACAAATTATACACAGTTATGCATATTAATAAATGAATAATACTAAGTACATAAGCACGATGTAATGCAACAGATCAAGCTAGACATAACCAGTTTATCTTGAACTCGCTTTATATGATCGTTCCGCACATTCAACGGTCAGTTTATACTGGTTTTGCGTAGTTTCTTGTGTGTTATACGTGACTTCATGATTTTCACCACAAACGACCTCTCTACATTCAAGGAAAACCACCCTTAGCACTTGTAACTATAAAGTCGGTTTTGAGAAATCGCATGACGTCATCTTATGATTATTGTGCCTACATGTTTTATTATATCAATTAACATAAATGTAATTATTGAAGATCGTGTTTCCTATAACTCCTATAAGTGGGCATTTCCTTGGCTTATAAGTATTAAGAGTCACATCGTCCCTGAACATTGTGGTTGTGAGTAAAAAATATTGACAAATAGAATTCTTGATTTTTTTATTATAACGCGATGGAAATCTTCATATACTTCTCACGCCGACCGCCGCGGCGCCGTGGGGACGACGGGGCGTGTGCCGGACTCTTACCGGCTAAAATCACAGCGGTGTTCTTCCTCTGCCTGTAGCCGTGACCCGGGACGCCCTTGCGGATTCACCGCACCCGGCAGGCCTCGACCTACCACTAAATTGTGGCAGGTCCCACCACGTAGCAAGCCCTCAAAAGCTGCGTTTTCCTTCCTCGAGTGGCGCGCGTGAATACACCGCTAACGCCTACTCCCGCCCATACAGAGCACGACTGACTCCCCTAATCAGTCGTCCGCAGGTTTCTCCTATGGAGGTCGCAGATCAGCTACCACCTCGCGGCGTTGGCGGCCGGTGCGTCTACGGCGAGAAGGGATAGAGCTGGACCCCTCCCCCCTCCCTTTCAGTCGCCTCCTTTGCCAACATGACACGTTCACAGAAGGAAGCGACTCCATCCCATGCACTCCACTGTCAACCATAGCTCGCACTACGGTCGGCAATGAGAGATCATTCCCTCCGAGCACTGTAATGAGTTCACGACGCAGCTCTGCCCATGTAGACCACTCTTCGAGCGTATGCCGCGCCGTATCCTCCAATACAGCTATTTTAGGTAACCTTATTAATGTGGCTACAAATTCCGTTTATATACCACATAACTTTTAACTTTTGGGATCTAATAATCAACAAAATAACTTCTAGTTATTAATTATGAAAACCTGCAAGGCAAAAAAACAGGGTATAAAATATAAATAAAGAAAATCTTTATATATATAAAACTTATATAATGATCCTACTGTTACACACATAGCAAAATCGCAAACACCAACTTGCTGAAAATCTTTACAGATAAATAAAATTAGAGTGTCTGTTTGTATAATTGAAAAAACCGCTTATTACGCATGCATATGAATATGCATACGATACCTATACCAAAATAACACTTTTTACAATTTTTGCCTGTCTGTCTGTTCGTACTGGCTAATCTCTGAAATGGCTGAACCCATTTTGAACTTTTGAAGAGACTTTAATCTTTAATTGGCAGCTGATGTTTGTTCTAAGGAGTAACATTGGCTACTTTTATTTTAGAAAAACGCTGACGTAGTTGCAGGTGCAGCTAGTACAATATAAATAAAAAGTACGTCGCCACAAAAATGTCTAGAATAACATAACATGACGCCTTTTACCCCCAAAGGGGATGATAGAGTTGCACATAACGGCACTTAATGCCACTATACAATGTAAAATCCACTTTTCACTAAAGATAAAGATAAAGATAAAGATGTATTTATTTCTAAGTACATGGTACTATTTATAATATGAGTCTCATGTAATATGGGGTGAAAAAAACGGTGAGAAAAAGTCTGTCTTTTATATTAAAACTAAAAATAACCATGGATTAATATAATTTATTAGTTCATCTCTTTGAAACTTGCATAAATATCCTACAACTCTTATAACAATTAAAATTACCTCACAAATAGTTCTTCCTCTTAACACTTAACATAAAAAGCAATGATAAATACTATAAATACATCACAATCACAAGCAATTATTAAACAACACGAAGTATAAATGATCTCTCAACCTGTTCATTGATCTTTAATAGTTAAACATTTAACCAGCATTAATAACGGATAGATTACCAACAAAACAGCTTAATTCCTTGTAATTACAAGCGTGATGATATCACGGAAGTTCCTCAACATGACATAAATGGATCTTGCAAAAAGTTTGAATTTAAATATGAACAAAAACAAGTGACGGTTGAAACGTATGAGTTTTGATGGTTCCGTATAATTAACAACAGCCAGCGGGTGAGAGTTCACTTTTATACTACGGATATGGTGACTATGGGCCTCCTCCTCTACAAAAGAGACATTTGCTTTCATTTTAGTCAAAGGAAATGAATACTTAACCCTTTGAGTATTCGGAGTCGCGGAGAACCTAACGGGTAACCGGGGCTCCGGCTCGACGTGCAGAAGGAACGGGGTGGTTTAGTCAGTAAGAGTCTGACACTCCCTCCCGCCTCACCCAGGCGGGAGCAGACATTCGATGATTTTCCCTCCTTAAAAAAAACCCTTTGAGTACCGTCATTATAGACACAATTAAAGAACAATAGGTTGCGGTCACCGGTAGGGTTGCCACCCGTACTTTATAATAAAGTATTGTACGTTATTTAAGGTAATTGTACTCTATACTTTATAAGAATAATAAACTACACGAAAATACTTTATTTTTGCAAACTTCATTTCTATTATAGTCGTAAGTATTTTTCGGTAAACTTATCGATTCGATATCGATATTTATCAATTTATGTTGAATCGATAACTCGCCAGCGCCACTTAGACAATTTCTAGTAAAGATGCAATTGTTTAGTATTTCAATGCAATTGTTCAGTAAAGTTAATACAAACTGCAAAAGCAATAAGAATACATTTTTAAATACAATACTAAATAAGAATAAATTGTACTTTATTTTTGTACTGTGTACTTTTTTTTCTTACCTATAATCGTCAATGTACTTTAAATACCAAAGAAAAAGGTGGCAACCCTAGTCACCGGTGTCCTCGCGGTGTTTGACAGTTTAAGTAAGATCCTAGGTGTTAGGTATACTAAGATGAAGAAGTATGAAGCTCTCGTTTGAGTTTGACTGTCGCATGTCGGTTAAAAGGTAGATATGATGATTCAAACTATTTATGTAAAAAATAATAAATTAAACTGTCAAACACCAAGCGGTCACCGGTGACCGCGACCTATTGTTCTTTAATTGTGTCTATAAAACCGGTACTCGACGAGTTAAATAGGTATCAGAGTACTGTCTAACTTCTTCTTTTGGCACCAACAGTGTTGTAAATATTATAAATATTATTTTAAGTATATAGGTACCTCAAAGTATTGAAATTAAAAATAATTTTTCTCGCATTGATCCCTAAAACACCTAAAAAACTAGACGCGTGTCTTGATTGCCATTGAACAATTAAATTCCAATAAAGGAGATATAAATTGTTGTTATTGTGCTTGCGATATAAATAACAATTTAAGTATGTATTTAGGAAGTTATGTGTATTGATATAGTAATATTTAATTGTTCCCTTTGTAAAATGTGGTATAGCTTCTGTTATTATAACAACGCAATCAATTACACTGAATAAGTTACAAATACGGCGTATTGGGACTAACCCCTAAACCTACGTGGTTTGGTGGGTTTGGGAAAACTGAGAAGAGGATTTGGGCCTTCGGAAATCTCAGTCATACATGATGTGTCTGTTGACTCAGTCCAAGTGTTGTTTCACGCTACTTTTTTGTGGGACTATAGTCCCGTGTCCCGTGACATCAATTCGGTCGAGTCGGTCCATTCGTGCCGAAGCATGGTTCTTCTACACTTAATTGGTTAATTGTCCACTATATTTTGTCCACCACAAGTGCCTGATAAATCTAACACATTTTAAGTGTGGAGAGCCATGCTTCGGCACGAATGGGCCGGCTCGACCGGAGGTATACCACGGCCTCACAGAAGACCAACGTGAAACAACGCTTGCGTTGTGTTTCGTCGTGTGATTGAGTTTATCGGAGGCCCAATTACCCCCCCCCCCCCCTTCCACAATCCTTAAATCCCAACAATCCTCAAATTCCTGATCCCAAAAGGTCGGTGACGCACTTGTAACGCCTCTGGAGTTCCAGGTGTCCATGGGCGACGCCGATTGCTTACCATCAGGTGATCCGTCTGCTCGATTACGGGCTTATCCCATAAAAAAAACATACTTTAACACTGACCCTTCATAGGTATTAAATCACGTCGCATAGCGTGTGGCTGTGACCTACACTACCCACAGTATCTCATTAAGTGGTATGTACACTATCAGCTGCAGAGATCCAATCAGCGAGGCATCCACCATAAAGCCTGGTAACCATAGTATTAACTGGTCAGCGTCACGGTGCCTGCTGTCTCACAATCAATTATTTATCTACGATTGGATAGGTCCAGTGGTCGAGCAAAGTGTTATTTTAATTTAGAATAAATAAATAAACTAGCTGAGATAATTTCGCTTTTAAAACATGAGTTATGATAGTATGAAATCTCGAATTAAGTTTGTATTTACGTAATTGATAATTGTAGGTAATCTAATATCAGCTTGACTCTTGGATTTTGAATCAGGTAACATGTACTGTATTAATTTAACAACACAATTACAGGTGCACATTACGGCACTTAATGCCACTGTACAATGTATCACCCACTTTTCACTATTTATGTTATGAGTCCCATGTAATGGGGGGTGAGCTTATTACCATATACCGGGCACAATTCCAGACTCCGTGCTACTACTGAGATTTCTTTTTAAAAACCCGTACCCAACCCATTTTTCGTAATACATTGCCCGACCCGGGAATCGAACCCGAGACCACTTGCCCAGCAGTCGTACTTGGGACCACTCGGCCAACAAAGCAATCGTTTAACAACAAAATTGACAAACACACCCATTAATTATAAACCTTTTTACATATCCACGGCTTATTACGTCTTTATGTTCCTAAACCTGCATTGGTAATAACTTGGTGGACTGTTGGCCCATCGGCCTATGCCTTCAGTGAATAAAAACCCAGAATATACTTACTTATTTTATTTAATGTACTACCTCATCATGTAAACAGACATAATGGTCGTGCCATCATCAAATTCATCATGAATTAGACAGGTCGTGACCTACCTGGACATTAGGAACGCCTTCATTTCATGTTTAGGCTAATTGGCACACGCTATACCGTTTAGCATGAATCATTCAACGATTAGTATTGTCACGTTCAGCCATATTCATTTTGTCCAAATTATCTACTAATTAATGGCGAATTGTATCTGCTCAACTTTTTTGTTATTAGCGCTATATTACATTTAGTATTTCGTATTTTCTTAGAGGTTTGTAATTATTATTTCCATATATTTATTTAAAACTCTCTATAAATTACATTTTTAAATACTACTTACAAAATAAAAAATAATATTTAAAAAAATAGGAGCCGACCAGTAGCGGGAGCATGGTCCAAGCTACCGGTGGTTAGGGCTCCAGAGACAGAAACCTCCTCCTATTATTATTATTACCATTTATTTCAATCAATTACATAGATCATTAATTACACATCTATTACACATAACAAAACATAAAACAATATAAAAGTTATAATCACATATCAAAATCACAATCAAGTCAGTCATCACTGAAATAACCCATCTTCCAACTCAAAACAGTAATTTCACATTAGCCAGTACATGAACCACAACAGTGGTTTATGTCCTGACAGTCAAAACGTTGTAATGCATCCATTGGGTTTGAGTGCTTACCTGTTTACGGTTATCCTAAATGTTTAGTAGCTACTTGACTGACAAGAAATTAATTAGGCCACATCATCGCTTACCATCAGGCGAGATGGTGGTCAAACGTCGACCTATAAAATATAAAAAAAATATTTTACACATAAGTATAATAAAATAAAATTCCTGTGTTTTTACCAATAACTGTTTGCTTACAAGTTTATAAAATAATTAATTTAATAAAACTCAACACGCTAACGCTGAGTCACATCAATCACTAAACAACGTGTAAAAGTTATCTAACTGACGTAATATATAGCTATGTATAATAATACTGTAGTTATCTAAAAATAAGTAAGAACTAGAATTTTGTTCATAAACCATAACCCATTGACATTAGTGAATAATTAAATAAAACCTTGATGTACGTCGCTGGATTCGACACGGCACCCATTATACACACGCGATGCGAAGCCGAACTCACCTAAAAAATGTATGAGAAGTATCTTGTGTACCTAGCACTCCTAGCAGTGTAGGTATACTTAAGTTTGGAATAAAACTAGACTAGCTATAGTGTCGCGGAGAACCTAACGGGTAACCGGGGCTCCGGCTCGACGTGCAGGAGAAGGAACGGGGTGGTTTTTAGTCAGTTAGAGTCTGACACTCCCTCCCGCCTCACCCAGGCGGGAGCAGCCATTCCATGATTTTCCCCGCAAAAGACTTGTACCTATTAAAAATAATGATCCTACTATATGTTTCCATAAACTAACCATATGCGTCATTAAAATTAAGTATTAGGGTCCTCATTACAATAATGTGTTATTTAATATCACACCTTTTATCCCTGAAGGCCTGAAGGGGGCCTGAAGGGGCAGAGGTTTACATTACGGCACTTAAACTGTCAAACACCAAGCGGTCACCGGTGACCGCGACCTATTGTTCTTTAATTGTGTCTATAAAACCGGTACTCGACGAGTTAATGCCACTTGTGCAATGTAACAACCACTTTTCACTATTTATGTTATGAGTCCCACTCAGTGCTACTACTAAGATTCTTTCAATTCAATCATTATGTGCACCTCTGACGCCACCTGCTTAAAATAACAGTCATTTAAGTTTACTCAAAAAGGTTACCTCTTACCCCTTATCCCTAATACCTAGGTACCTAATAACCTATATAAATAAAAATGAAACATGTTTCCCGTTGTCACGCCATAACTTGAGAACGGCTAGACCGATTTGGCTGATCTTTTTTGTTGTGTTTGTTATTGTCAGGAGAAGGTTCTTATTTATGACAGAAAAAAATCCTGAAAATTCTACGGGAACGGGAGAAAACGAGATGGCGTGTACGAAGTCGCGGGTAAAAGCTAGTTATGCAATAAAAACCACAAAACTTTTTACAAATACACTTTTGTAACATAAAACCGTTTTTTATTCTCCACAGCCTCAACGAAGCCCAGGACTTCAAGCGATAGTGCATTTACAAGCGGACGAAGAGTCAGGTGTGGAAGGTGACCTGATCTTCACACAACTGGTGCCAAATGGACCAGTGACCATTGAAGGCAACATCACGGGCCTGGCTCCAGGCTTACACGGTGTCCATGTTCACCAAACTGGAGCTGTGAAGGATAACTGCAAGGAGATTGGACCACATTTCCTTGCGTTCTATGTAAGTAATATGTCTTTATTTATTTGTCCTACTAGGTGGCTTCGGGCAGTGGAAGACCAGGAGAAAAAGCACTTCATGCATATGTCGCAGTAAGATAGATAAAGCCGTAATATAGTTATATCCCTAGGGTTATATCATATACCGGGACGTAGTTATACGAAAGCGATTCATTACTATCTCCCTAGGGATATAATTATATTATGGCTAGATCTATCTTACTGCAACACATATATTTGGTTTAATTAGTTAACGTAATTTATGTAAGAATCAAATAAGTCCTGTGTAAGTAATAAGGAACCTGTTCATTTAACAGACTTCTCTGAACGTGCAACAACTCGTATAATATCACGCCTTTATCCCCGAAGGGGTAGATTACGGCACTTAATGCCACTGTACAACGTAACACCCACTTTTCACTATTTATGTTATGAATCCCATGTAATAGGGAATGAACCTATTGCCATATACCGGGCACAATTCCAGACTCCGCGCTACTATTGCGTTTTCTTAAAAACCCCAGTAATACTTTATCCAACCGCAGTCGCACTTGCGACCACTCGGCCAACGAGGCAGTCCAAAGGCGAGTTAACTTAAAGTGTTCCCGTAATAGTTACCTCTATCTTGAACATTACGATCTGTCATAACTAATCCATACCCTTCATTGCATTCCAGGGTCGACACGGCGGTCCTCGCGACAACGTTCGCCATGTGGGTGACCTTGGCAACATAAAGGCGGAGGAAGGGCCTGTCACCGTCAAGATCATCGACCACCTCATCTCTCTAGCTGGCCCACGATCCATAGTCGGTCGTTCTTTAGCCATCTCTAAAGGCGAAGACGACTATGGCAGAGCCAGCACGGAAGACAGTGCCCTCACCGGGACTTCAGGCCCGGCCATTGCGTGTGGCATAATTGGCTACCTCCACTAATATTTCGAAATATTTTTTTCTGTAAATTGTGATATTGAGATTCGTACTTTTGTTAATATATCTGTATATGTATATTGTTTTGTTTTATTTCCGTATATTATCATACCAACCTGCTACGTTTTTAGTCAGTAAAAGTCTGATACGCCATACAGGCGGGAGAAGTTACTCGATGATTTTTCCCCCAAAAAACATAGTAGCGCCTACCATGAATGTTAACGCAATCCGCTCAGCTAATACTTTAGCGTGTTATCTCAATAAGGCGTTGGTTTTATATCGAAATCTTTCATGGCCAAGTCACACAACTTAACTATAATAATAAGGAGAACGTAGTAAGGAACCTAAGACTTGGCATGACTTTGTCTAGATTTCATTAATTTTTAAAGATGAAATAGCAGCTTCATCGAGACTAGACTTTTTTTATTTTGGTTGGATGTCATTTCCAGAAAAAATTACATGTAATTGGTAACTGAATTCAACAACAGAAATTGGGTGCTGCAATTTTGTGTTAATCCACCCAATCATCCATTATCCGTACTAGGTAGGTAGGTATGTTAAATCTTATTAAAATATTATATTATACTTTATAAATCCACGATTACCAACTCTGAAGAAACAGTTATCATAAATAAGCATATTTATTTATCAAATAGATCTCTGTAAAGCTTGTTAAAAAGTGCATTATCTTTAATTAGTTACAAATTAAACATAATTATAATTACATACTCAGGGAGTTACCTACATAGATATGGGTACTTTTTTACAAAACTGATAAACAATAATGCAAGGAATAATATCGTAAGTCGTATCAGGACAGAGATTATTTATTTTTCAATATTTTCCATAGCTTGCTGTATCGTCGAGTGACAAATCAGATTTAGTAGATAAGGTTAAAACATAAATCATGATTTGCGATTAAAACAAGTTAATCGTAAGAACTTGATAATTATGGACTGTGGACATAGGCACGTACGTACTGAGTGGTTACCGGTTAATTACTTTAACTATCATAATGCTCGCTGAACTAGTTCGAGACTACATGCGTAACTGCTGAGTCAAGATACAGATTGCAGACCATTAATTTAAGTTAAAATGTCACATCATACACAATTAATGCTGTTGAGAATTTGAGGATTTTTGAGAGGAACGTCTAGATTAAACTCGATGGAGGTCCGCCATGTCATTGGTTGTGAGAATAGCACCGACCAATGACGGACGAGAATGACATCGAACTCAGTTCGAATGAGGTCTACCGTATTTTTGGCAGATGGCATAAATGTACCTCTCGAAAGAGAGCTTCTTTTGTCCAATTATAACAGTTGCGAAATAATGAACGTACAATGGCGTGACAATAACCAATTCGGATATTGGACGAGCGCCATCTGGTGATCAAAAAGCAAAAATACGGTAGGCCGTAGGCCCCAATGACATCTTACAGAATAGCCTATGCTATTAGCAAGTGAAGTGCTGAAACTCACCCCTTGTTACACAGGGTAATACAGGACGCCATAATTTTTATTACATCGTGTTGAATACTAGGAGTCCCATTAGAAAAAAAACTCGAAAGGCAAGTACGATTTCAAGGATTTAATTAACTATTATCTAGTAGTTGTGTTGAGAGTAAGAGAGGATATCAAGCATTGCATCTAGTATTCATTAAATTGATAACACATTGAATGCCATGTCGAACAATGGGGACCATCGCTGGCGGAGAATAACTGCTGCCAGAATAATAACCTCAGTCACCGCGTCGCAGGTCGCGAAATGCTGCTCATGAATATGAGCCTCTAGCATAGCTTGAAACTAGTCGAGTTCCTCGTCAAATAATTACGTGAGTAAGCCGAAAACATAAATATTAATTTAGTATATCTCACGAAAGTTATAATACAAATAGAATAATAACTGGTAACTGCGCTATGTCTATATTTTCTCTGCATATCACAATTCGAGGAATCAGTCATGACGTAATATCAAGTTTAATTTGGTTTACATGTTGTACCTACCTACTATTGTACTATTTGTACTTCTATAACTGAGGTACTGTGTAATTCACACATACACGTAAATCCTTACAACTTCGTAATTATTATGTTAGTTCAGGTATTTGTAAACCCACATCCGTAGTCCGTACGATTGTTTTAACCATAACTATTATAGTATTATTCCAATATAAGTACTTGTTATTTTTCATATAGGTTTCCTGTAGGGCATATCTAGGTACGTACTATTAGGTGCACTAATCGTTTCAAGTTTGCATAGATAATGATTTTTTTTAAGGGGGGAAAATCATCGATTACTGCTCCCGCCTGGGCGAGGCGAGAGGGAGTGTCAGACTCTTACTGACTAGAAACCACCCCGTTCCTTCTCCTGCACGTCGAGCCGGAGCCCCGGTTACCCGTTAGGTTCTCCGCGACGCATAGATGATAGGACTTTCAATTTGTGCAAAACAAGGATATCGTCTACATCTAGGAACTTATTTTAAACTGTCAAGCACCAAGCGGTCACCGGTGACCGCAACCTATTGTTCTTTAATTGTGTCTATAAAACCGGTACTCGACGAGTTAAGGAATAAAATAAAAATACAAATAATTTTAGTAACCAACGGATATATTTCATGTATAAAAAAAATCTTCTTCAACAAAAATGAAAAATACAGAAAAGTATTAGAAACAGCACCGCATACCAAAAAGTATGGAAGAATCGGATGTTTGAACAGAGGTATAATTTGTATCCTTACATTATGTGATGTTTACGCCTAAATACTAGCTAGTTGTGCCTAAACCGAAGAAATAAATAATGATTTTGTCATACTGAGGCGGACGGCAGACATAAATAAGGAATACTTTGTATATTTTGTGCTGTGTTTAAAGTTTCTAAATATAACAGCATTTTATGATGTTACATTCGATCTACAGTGATGCAGCTCGATAATACAAGATGGAAATTAAATGCAAGAAACGAACGAACTACATAAACTTTGACAGCAACAAAATGGCGCCCAAAATTAACCCTGCTCGTACCGCTCCATTGCGAATCGATTTTAGAAACCGACTCAGTTGATTTTCTTTGATTTTATTATAAAAAAGAATAGCTTTTTGATTTTTATATATAAAAATTTCACACTGATTTAAAATTACAAATATACTAAGGTCAGTCCCACTATGTTATTTACTGGAGGCCGATGGAGGCAATCAGTTGCTCGACCTTGGCGACGTACGCCTTCTGTGCGTCATCCTTGGACAGACCCTTCTTCTTGGACCACGCCTCGAACTTGGCCTTGCCCTTCAGGTCCAAGAAACCAGGGGCCTCTGTAAATAAAAGAAAAATATTTTTAGCAAGATGATTGGTGTATGGCGATCAATTCAAGTACCTCATTTTAATTATAATTCCTATACATATGACTTTACTATGCGTCCCAATTTTGACCTTTATAAACATTCTCGATTTTCTGTACATAACTTTATGAATCATTTTCGTTCAATTTACGTAAACAAGGGCCAAGTTAACGACAAGGTGATCTCTTACATCTAACCTAAGATATGTATCAGAGAGATAGTGGTCTTCTCTCAATATTACGGACGTCACACAAACATTACTTAATACGTAGAATAAATAGTAGTATAGTATAGATCTATTACTTAAAGTACGAAAAATATTTAAGTAGAAGTGAGATGAATCAATTCAATATTTAGTAAAAACCCCTAAAAAGTACCAAAGTTTTCATGTGTCAAGGCTGACTATTATAAATTCCCTTTAATACCTCTTTTTACGTATTTTAGCCAACTGGCTTGTATGATTAAATACGTAGAAAGAGTCTCAATAGCTATTGAGTAATGAAATAAAATAATAACGTGTACTATGCTAACCATAACTATATCTATGTACCTATTCAAAAGAACAATACGAACATTAAAAAAATAAAAAGAAAGATGGCGGGGCCTGCAAACATGATTCACAAACTCACAAGTCAAGGTAAATTGAATTCAGACCGTATTCAGCTCTGTTTATAATTTAAAATCGTTTGCAACTAGGCTAGGATGACTGGTACAAGTGGGTACCACATTTCTGATGCAATTTGCTTCAATTGATCCAACATTTCAAGCCGGCGGATGCTCAGTTATCAGAGATTGAGTCATTTTGGCCGACTTACAGTATCATTTAATCGAGATTCGTATCTTTAGTTTAAAGATTGTGTGTGTGATTAGTAGCTAAACGATAAACGGCTTTAAATATGATTGATTCATTTTGTTATTATTTTGTTTACTGTATTATTGGTACTTTTTAAGAAACTTTTACATAATCACGGTTCTAGTTTTAAAATCTTTGGAATCGGAGATATACATTCCATCTCTTTTGGAGGTTGTAGCCAGCACTGTACATTTATATTTTTAATATTTACTAGTATTTTTTTATTCATTTACGAGTACACGTTTCAGGTTTTGCAAAAACATGATATATAATTTATTATGGTCATATTAAACACCTAAGCTGTCATTTGTACATAATTATTTGATTAAATTACTAATTCGTTTTTAGACGTCATAATGTGCAGTGTCCGAGGTTCGTGTCTGATTTGAATAACAAAATAAATAAGAAAATCATTATATAAAAAGTTATGACCATTAAAAAGCGCATATTTATTTCTTGATTTTTAAAATATACATAAAATCAACTTCTTTTTAATCCTATTTCAGGTGGCATGTTTTCTTTTTTTATCTGTTAAATAACAGTACATAAATAAGCCGTAAATATAACTGGGTCCTAAATTGTATGCAAAAACCAACTGTTTCTTAGGAAATAACGGAGACAAACGTACCACGTATACCGTAAGTTGAAGGCGACGTAGATATTATGAGGTATGTATGCAAATAGATGTAACACCATATGTAGGTTTGAATCTAGAACGGTTGGACCGGTTTTTATAAGATTAATTGTTTCTAAAGGACTAGTCGCAACACCATAGAAGTTACAAACGCGTTGCCGGTCTTTGGAGGGATGTAGTG